CTCACCCGTATTAAAAGTCATCATTTTCTTGCAAAACAAATTCCTGAAATTAATAACAAGTCATTAATTTTAATTATCCATAATCTTGTTGTTTATTATGATTACATTGTTTGTAAAGTGCCCATGAGCATGTTATATGAAAGGGCGCATTATAAATATGCTAATAATAATAATAATAATAATAATATATCAGCGTGCTTGTAATAAAACAATTAATACGCATTTTACAAGGATGTAAAATGCATGGTTTTCGGACAAATTTCTTTCTAAAAGCGACAAAATTAAATAGTCTGTCCGAAAGCAAAATTTAGTTAACCTGCATGTTAAAAATTTAGATAAAATCTAAAATGTCTTACCATAAATCGAACAAAATTTGGAAACACTTCCTATCTTCTAGAAGAGCGGCTGGGTTTATGATTATGACGTCATGTGATTATTCTTCTGACGTTTAGAACTTCGTGCCGTTATTTTCTGTCACTATTTCTTAGTATAAGCTTTGTACGTTATTTAGAAATTGAAATATGAAAATTTAAACAAGTCATTTTAAAAAATGATTTAAAAATATTCGATTAATTACTTCAAGCATAATACTCAATATTTGTGTACCTCGATCGGCTCGTCTAATTGGTACCATATAAGCATAGCCATGGCTACACTAATGAATATTATCTGCGAATATTCATTGAATACAGTTGTGTATTATCTCCGGCAAAAAATCGGCATGGTTTGGTTTGATTTGCTGTCCTATCGGGGAGCCGCGGTGGCCCAGTGGTTAAGACGCTAGATCAATGACCAGGAGTTCCATCGTGTTTTTTCCCTTTGTGATTGGGTGCAAGTCGTATAGGGCTGGACAGGGGCGGTGTCTAGTCGTTCTGTTGGGACTATCCGAGATCCCGCGTACATGTTATGTAAACGAACCCAGGTTGACAGTTGGAATTCGAAATAAGAGAAGGTCGTAGTGCCGCTGTCCGGGCAAAAGTTCCCTCATAACATATCTCCATTAGCCCAGTTGGTGAACAAAAGTAGGACGTTAAATCGTATTTCATTTCGTTATCTTATCAATAGCGGTGATGAAAAAAAAAATCGTCTTGTAGCCGCCAAATAAATACACGGACTAACTGGACAGTTTATTAAAGCCATAACCTAAATGCATGTAGTTTTGTATGTTGGAGTGAACAAATTGTGTCTTATTGTAGAAATTTTATATTTCTTGAATTACCTCGTGGGTCCATGATTTGAAACATAAAAACAAAATAATTATGTTGAAATCAACCCTCTTCGTAGGTTGAAGGAACGTCTATTAAATTACTCAAGAGCTAAATCTGCCTGATGCAGTTATTTCTTTAGACCTTAAATGCTATATAAATCATTAATAAGACATTTATTAACATCACAAGGCCATCTTCAACTCTCTAGGTCATCGGATGGCTCCGAACGGTTCGGTCATTTAATGACTTTATTTAAAAATGGAGAAGCGGGGCTAGGTCTCGAATATACCAGTACCGTGGTTATGATAATAAACAATCAAAACTACAAACAGTGATAACTTGCCTCAGAAAAAAAGTAAATTTGAATGAAATTTTCAATATATTCATTCTGCATTTATCTATTTTCAACTATTATGGAGAGAACTGTAAGCTCGTAATCTAAATCTTACATAATGCATCTTTAATAATCCCGAGAGTAAATTCCTCAATTTACTGTAGAATTCCAAATTTAGTGATTATTTACTTTTCATCTATACCCGAGGCGCGTTGAATTATATACCCAATAACTACCCAGTAACATCCAATAACTACTCAATAGCACCCAACAACATCCTATTTTAATACTCAGGGCCCTTATTCACGAAAACTTAAACTAAGATAAAATCGAAATTTTAAGAAATACTGCAACTTCATTGGATATATGCAAATTGATTTTACTGGTCAGCCAATCGAATTGCAGTATTTCTTAAAATTTCGATTTTATCTTAGTTTAAGTTTTCGTGAATAAGGGCCCAGAACAACAAGATAACATACGCGGAAAACAACTTTATTGAGAAATTTGGAGCATTGTATGGCTTGTATGGTGTGCTGTTAGCGGAAATTATATATTCTTGACTTGTTGGGTTGTGAATAAGTCGAAGGCGACAAGTCGACAAAATGAAGGCGACGATTGTCGGGTTATTTTGTATTGTTGGCTGGTTGATGTTGTCGACTTGTTGTCGCCTTCACAACCCTAAAGTCGTGAATTTAGAATGGCCGCTAACAGCCACCACTTGTCATTTTCGACCATCAGCGGCGGATCGAGGGACTGTGCAGAGCTCATTGACCGATGCAGGTCGACAATAATTGGAAAAGTACAACCCATTTTTAATATGATAAAATAGAATACATATTATATCAACTAAAAACACAGTATAATGTCAATAATATTAATCAAAATATTATGCAGATAGCCTATTATATAGTAGGACTATAGATCTATAAAACATGAACAGATGCGCGTTTCATGTTGTCTTCCCACGCACCACTTTGCAATTTTGGGGGTATTAAAGTCATATAAGACCATCACATCAAAAAGACACGGCACTATATCAATGGAAAGAATTCAGATTTTATCTGAAACAAAACAGTTTAAACTTTACAAGTAGAGAAGTCAATTTGGTCAAAATATGCTTCTCCTGAATTCTGATTTCTATACAACATGTAACAATTAGCAGATTTCATACCCTGAAATATAATTAATTGAAAATGCCGTTACTATTTCAAAGAAGTTATACATTGTATAATCATTATTGATGGAACCATTTGGTGGGTGAAATCGCTAAATGGTAAAAGAAGCATTTATTAACATGACGATCAATAGAGAACAGGATTATTTCTTATTTTTAGAGAATTGTAGAGAATTTCCTGTCAAAAATTCAAGCAAATATCGTCTAGTTTGAACATTTTGTAAACTGATGAATTTACTAGAAGAAAAAATGGAATACCTGTGGTACATGCACGTTAAGAATGACTCTGTGCCAGTAATTCCGTGTTGGAGAATGGCGCGTACTGTCCCCATAGATAAGAGACATCGATTCTCTGAAATAATGAAACACAGCAGTCGCAGTGACTTTAAGAAATATAATTCTTGGCTCTTTGAAATAATGCATTTCCAGAATCTGCCACATAAGGTGTTAGACACTAAAATCTCCCCCAGCACCCACTCTGCTCTCCCCTGCCACCCCCTCCTTTTCTCCATAGACCCCCCCCCTCTCTGTCTCTTCATCCCATCCCCACCCCCGCTCTCGCTTTACAACAAGAAGGAGTGTTACCTCTATATCACAATAAAGGCTGTATTTGGGAGACTGTGTACGTGTATTTCCGTTATATTTACTGTAACCAGTTAAAATAAATTTGGTGATACTGAAAGATAAGATATAGTACATGTAGTGTTTATTAGACAACATTTAAAGGCATTGGTTAGAGAACGAATCATTGGTGATTATCTGATGCAAACTAGTCCATCAATTTATAGTAGATCATTACAATATGTTTCCTTATTATGACTAGAGCTCAACAAACTCAACCAATTACGTTGATCATAACAGCAAAATTCGGAAGCGATTTCAAGCAACCCAATGTCTCGCCTCTATTAAACCAACTGATGAACAAAACAGAAATTTTTTCAAAGAATTTTACAGGTCATTTATACATGACGCTACACATTTCATGTATTACAAATTTTTGTAAAAATTAAAAATGAAGTCATTAAAGTTTTAAGCACCTTAATTTATCATTGTTTAGTTATGTCTAGGGTTCAACGAGGTTTCTTCTTTTGATTAGCAGAACAATGCAAGCATGTTTGATAATAAATTCTCAGAAGCATTAACTAACACACGATACTAAAATCGACTGAAAATATTACTTAAGCTGGTGAAAATATGAACTTCTGTGAGGCTCCACCATTTGTGACCTTTATTGACTTCTGACCTTCAGTAGCTCCAGGGCTGTATTGAAAACCTTCTAAATATTGGAGCCAGTCAGTATTATTAACTTCAAATGAACTGTTCGGCAACGTTATTGTCTTACAACTGGTACCTGTGGTAATAAAACATTAACATATGTTGGCTATATAAATTTTACACGTAGTATATTGAACATGACAGAATCTAATTTGACTATTATCTAATGGGTTCAAATGAATTTACATACATATTTTTACTGATCCGTGATGAACAAAATTTTTCTCCTCATCGTTTACCTTAATTCTCCATTTCTCATCGGATTTATATCTATTTCCGGTTAATACAGAGATTTTCTTCAACTTGTATTCATTTAGTGTTCCATAAAGTCTATCCTTGCGAATAAATCATACTAATAAATAGAGAGAGAGAGAGAGAGAGAGAGAGAAATCGGGTTTAACGTCCACTCGACATAAACCAGGTCATTTCGGGACTAACATATGGTTCAATTTTGTCATTAATTCACTTCCGCGTAGGGTTCTTTAGCAGTGTGGGGGGGGGGAGAACCCAGAGAAAAGCCACGAGATTGGACAGGCGACCATACTCCTTGTCACGTACAAGCAACCCCCCACCCCCAATAAGCCATACTAATGATGAATAGAGAGAGAGAAATGGGGTTTAACGTCCACTCGACACAAATGATAAATAAAACTTATGTTAAAGGTATCAATAATGATACGTACCGCTAGTGATAATCACACCAATGATCAGTAATAATCCTAAGAATAATACTAATGGTAAAATAATACTGGTGTAATAAACAATACTGAGGATAAAAATAATACTAATAGTGTGATTTTTATATTATGAGTGATAAGAATCATAACATATACTAACCCACTATCCTACGTTCTTTCTTTCCTAAAGTTCAGATTATAAATAATATATAGATAAGAGTAGAAATCAACAAGATATTTAACTCATATGTTAATTAGCAAAACATAAAGTGTTAGTGTAAATACAGGAAGAAGTTTTATATTAAATAGAAAAATGAAACAATAGATTGTAATCAGTTTATTGAAAAGATTAAACTTTACAAGTAGAGAAGTCTGTGTTTTCATCAACTTTCCACATTTCAATTTGGTCAAAATATGCTTCCCCTGAATTTTGATTTCTGTACAACACGTAACAATTAGCGGATTTCATACCCTACAAATGAACGAAAAAAAACATCAAACATTTGAATTATTTTAGATAATATCTGATTTTTCACAACTTTAATCCACCCTAAAATTGATTATTTAACATTTAATTAAGAAACCAAAATAAAAATATCATTGGTTGATAATACCTCCGCTTGGATTCATTCCGATTGGAATAAGTTCAGTCAAAACATTTTAGTAAAGACAATACGTGGTGCTGGTGTGTTTTGTTGACCATATACCTTTTATACTGATCCGAAATGAGCCATTGTTGATACAGAATATTGTAATCGCATATCAAAATCTCTCAAATCTCGATCAGACTTTACCATTAATATGATTTCCTATAGCAAATGAAATACCTGAGCGTCATATACGTTAAGAATGCCTTGATGCCACTTGGAATTCTCTGTTGAGAATGGCGCGTTTTGTCCCCAGAGGTGAGATCCATCAGCTCTCTGAAATGGATTGACAAATATATTTACACACCTCAAGAAAATATCCCCGCCCCCATCGCATCAACCTACAGTAAAATCATTAGGGGTTGATGTTAAGGTAATACATATGTATTAACCTCCAATAACCACATGCTTTGAATTTCACGTGCACCAGGCTAGCAGCGGTTGATACTTTGCGATAATCTGGGTCGATATGTAAGTCAAACAGCAAAACACTTTCATGGTTGTTATTCAAAATAAACCTGCCCGCTCCGCTACTATTTATTGCCCCAACTAATTATTTTATGCTGAAGGAAGATTGCCCCCTTGTACAGATTGCCCCTTATACAGATGGCAATCTGCAACTACACAAATTGCATCCGGATATCTGTTCGTGGATCGCAATCTGTGTACCATATATTCGAAAATTTCTCAGAATAAAGTGTAATCTTTAGGCCTACTATATTTATGAAATATCTATCAATGAGGTAATTTACCCCTACACTCGATTTATTTTGTAGCAATATTTGAATCTAGTTAAGAAGATTCTAGAGAATTTATTAAATTACCTCTATATCACAATACAAGCTATAATCAGCAGTGGCTGTTCGTGGATTTCCAATAAATTTACCGTAACCAGTAAGAGTGAATTTTGTAATACTGAAAATATATAACAAAAAGATCACTCCTAGTTACAAGGCAGAAAATCGAGTTTTACTTTCGAATCCACAGTACATAATTTGTTCATGGGGGAACTGGGTTATAGTTCCATTAGACACAGTTTTCCAGTTAAGCCGGGGAATCGAGACTAAACATATCGAGAAGATTCTTCTGGGCCTAGAAGGGATACAGGGAGCCTGAGAGAGAGACAGAGAGAGAGAGAGAGAGACAGAGAGAGACAGAGAGAGGGTATAGGGGGGGGGGGCTTTTAGGAACTAACACGTGGCGTCTTGAAGGATTGTGAGATGGAGTTTAACGTCCACTCGCCACAAACTAGGTCATTTCGGGACTAACCTGTGGTTCAATTTTTTTTCAATAGTTTGTTTGCGCTAGGACCCGGAGAAAACCCACGAGGTTGGATATGCGACCCTACTCCTTGTCACGTACAACCGGGGAATCGAAACCATATCAGTTGACTCAATGACAGACCTTATGATACAGCGCGCACGTGCTAACCATTCGGCCACCCACCCCCCTCAAATGACTGAAATTAAATACATCATTCTAGTAGCATTTTATCCCGGCATTTAAACCCCATTTCATTCAATCATTTCTACTGTGGTAGCAACAATACAGGATTTTCCTACCCGTACTTTGTTTATCTGTAAACTTGGCTTTGCACTTAAAATATACCCAAAAAATACATGGCCATTTCGACACGGCGCTAAAATAAGATACAAATACATCACTTACGCTGGGGAAAATGTGAATTTATGAGAAGCCCCACCATTTGTAACTTTGATAGACCTTTGACCTGCCTTGGCTTGTGCGTTGTTGTATTGAAAACCACCGGAATATTGCTGCCAATCAGTGCTATCAACTTCAAACGAGCCATTTGGTACTGTTATTTTCTGACAGCCAGAACCTATAAAATATAAAACAGTTTGTCAGGCAATGAAACATGCCGCAATATAAATGTTTCAGGGATCGTCTCTATAGTAATTATAAGCTGAGGCATCCCTTTAAAATTTGACAAAATAATATCAAATAAAATAGATACCTTGTTTTAGAATACGAGAATGTCTTCCAGCTGGTGGGGGATGCCATGATTTGAGAGATTCACAAGTGGATGCTACGATTCTGCTACTACTAGCAATCTGAAATTTATATAATAGTAAAATACATGTAGATCTACTCACCGTTTGTAATAATTACTTCAAATGTATTTAAGACCACATGAACATATTGTGGAAAAGATATGAAATGAAATGGGATTTAACATCCTACTTTTCTGGGACGTGTGATTTAAAATTACAGGATGCAATTAAGTTGATTACAGTATCGCATTGACAGTGGTTTCATTACAGTTTTGCGTACTCAAAATCATGCCCTTTGGATTAACAAAAGCACTAATCCCTTATCATACTCACCTCTATAGAAGCATGCAGGGAGTTGAGGCCCGTTCTGTCGTTTGGTACATTTTCATTATTAAACAGGACATAATAATTAACAGTATTAGCTGCTGAAGCCTCCACAAAACCCATATGTAGCTACAAAACAATAGAAATCAAATTAATTTGTTTTACGGTGATTTTATGTTTTCATATAGATGCATTTCCGTTCCAATGGGGGGGGGGGGTCCCGGCTGAAATTAAATTACATTTTTTAACAAATTTAAAATACCTCCCTTTCTTATATTTCTGGGGTATACCATCAAGGGGTTGACCCCGAGCATCACCAAAAGACATTCCCGCAAAATTAAAAATGACATTTTAAGATACATTATCCCTTTATGGGCTATAATTCCAAACAGCAGCTTTCAGCTTTCGACACAATGTATCCTCGAAGTGTGTGATATGTAAGTCAAGACTGAAACATCAAAGTTATTAAAGAAATCATCAACATACGTCATAATGTCCCGCTGGAATAGTACGTGAAACTTTCACTTCGCCTGAAAACATATGTTGTGTTCCCTCCTTTGGGAACCAACCCCTGGATAAACCATCGGATATATCGCCCGAGTAATACTTTCCTCTGAAAGTCAAATAAATCTGATCAATCACAGTTTAGACAGCCAGAAGAAAACAGGTAACACTGAAAATTGTTCTCAGCCTGTTTAAATGTTTAAATAAGCACATTAACTATCGCTATAAAAGTTGTGGTTTTTGTGCACAAGGCAGGTATACTTACTCTGCCTTTAAAAGTGCTTAGTCTTTCTAAAACGTTTCTTGCTGCTTATTATTTGCTTGAGAAGTTTTGTTTGCACTTTAGCTATGTAATTAACATAGCTATGAAATTAATTAAAATGTGCTTACGTTGTTTTGGAACGCAATAAAAGGTGTCCAACCCATTTCTTATAAGGTGTTGCATAACCACTGTTCTTCAATGTTATTTTGTAACACAAAGTATTACCATGGTAAGCTGTCCTTGGGAATTCCCCCTGTAAATTATAATGACTTTAAATTTAAAACATTTTTTTATGAAGAAATTGTGATCATGTCAACTGTACATCGGTGACAGAGTAAATTTGATTGAATCATTTGTTAAAATGATGTTTAACTTTAAGAATACTGATTAAAAATAATACATGATGATAAATCCAACACGTAAGTCAAAGCTGGTCTTTACTAAATTAAAGATAGCCACGCAAAGCGTGGAAATACGCCCAAACAGGAACTTTGGCCCGGAAAATAAGATAACCATACAGCATAAGTTTGAAAAAACTGTAGCCTCTTTCGCGTTGACAAGCTTTTCGAAGGGGGGTAACTTTGGAACGAAAGGTAACACGCAACGCCGAATACTGATAGGCTTCATCCACTCACGGCCCCAATGCTTTACACCAAATTTGAAAAAAAAAACCGTTAATGCTTTACACGAAATTCGAAAAAAAAAGTCCGTTAACGCTTTACACCAAATGAGAGAAAACATTCGTTAACAAGTGGTTGACTATCGATGTGTTCATCCTTTCGTGACATTAATTTTGAAAAACAATCGTTAAAAACGGTAGCCTTTATCGAATCCATAACGTTTTCGGCAAAGGATGGCAACTCTGGAACTGAAGGTTGCGGAACGCTGAATATCGACAGGGTTCCTACTCTTATAAACCCAATGCTTCACACAAAATATGTGGCCACTACCGCATTCACAAGGTTTTCGGCTAAGGGGACATAACCCCGAAGGGTTTCTCCTCTCGTAACCTTAATGCTCCACACCAAATTTTAAAAAAACCTGTTGAAAACGGTGCCCTCTACCGTGGCCCTTTTTACTTTTCTTTTTCATTTAGCAAAGATATTCGGGATATCTACCATGTGCATGGAAAAATAGAATCGAGCTATCACGTCATAAAAATTCTTGCATTCTTCTCATATGTAATAGTCACGTGTCACTATTGCGGACGAAAACGTCTCAGACGCATTCGATCACATGATTTCGAATGCTTGATGTAAAAACAAGGTATACATTACCTAAAAATAGTTGATAAGGCAACGAACCGCACACAGCTACTGAGTATTAAACTTTTTGAATGTTATAAAGTTGTGGGTATATATAGTACTCCATTACCTTTACAAGAATAAGTCGGTAACCAAGACGTTTTTCGATACTACCATAGCACCCTTGGCTCTTCCAATCATTCAAGACATCTGGATGGTATTCTCTATTTATAAAGGACCAATGAAATTCTTCCAATTCTTTTGTTGCTGTATTACAGTTACTGCGGGAACTGCGACCACAGGTTTCGCCGCCCACTGGTACTCGTGCTGAATCTGCAGCCAGATAGGCTTTGTCTTTCACAATGTCTAGATATGTTCCCGCATCAGTTTCAGATTTCAGAAAACAATCATTATGGTGTCCTGTAATATAAATATAACTATCCTTAATCATTTTAAAGTTAACTGAGTAAAATCTTATAGCCAACTTTTGACAGACTCGGAACAAAACAGAAAAGGTACCAAAAATAAAAAAAAAGTTACGTAAAAACGCAACCGTCTTCGATAATTGATGTCATAGTCAATTCATCAAAATCGGCAGGATGATTTCCATTTTATCCCCAACAAAAAATTATTTTCTAAGCCTCACCTATTCTTGCCTTATTTGTTTGATCCCAAACATCTGAAGCCTGGGTTGCAGATTCTCCAAAGAACCGTGTCTTGTATAAGGTTGTTCTTACTTGAACGGATCTGTATAAAACATAAAATGAGTCAGATTATTAAAAAAATATATCAATGCTATAAATCAAATAGAAGACACGGAATTACTAATAGGAAAACCCAGAGTATTTTATTTTAAAGTAATATGTTTCAATCAGCTTTAAAGCTGTATTTTTGAAACCCTATGGAGGTTTTCACACACTTTCTAAAAGCACTTAAAGGGCGGATATGTGCCCCCGCACGGCTAAAACCGTGGATATATCTCACCACCATATTGCATTTTTGTGGTGAAAACGGTCTTGTTAGAAAGTACAATAATCCTAGAGAACATAAAAGCTTCCATGTTCTAAATTCGACATAAAAAGATTAATGCTAACATATTTACATTGATTGTGGCGCTGCTTGTAGGATAGCAAACAAAACACCCTTTCTGTCTGTCCAGTGTTCATTAGATATACCATTTTGACCAGTACTTGAAGGATGTTGTGGATCACCAAATGATGTAGTATAATACCATTCACCTAGGTTTTTACAAATATAAACATTATCAAGAATAACAAATGAAATGATGCATGATAATACCATTCAGACATATTAATACCAATAACAAATGAAACGATCTAGTATAATACCATGCACTTATGTTTTAGAAATATAAACATTATCAAGAATAACAAATGAAATGATGCAGTATAATACCATTCAAATAGGTTTTAGAATATAAACATTGTCGAGTATATCAAATTAAATGATGTAGTATAATACCATTCACCTAGGTTTTAGAAATATAAACATTATCAAGAATAAAAAATGAAATATAAACATTATCAAGAATAACAAATGAAATGGTGTAGTATAATACCATTCATGCAATGCATGTCCAATACTATCGTCAAAAGTGGGCCATGTTATTTAGACAAGGGACAAAATACCGCTAGAGCTATTTCAGAATAATATAGATGTCGAGTCATCACATGCATGCACGCAGTTGAGAAATTAAAGCCTTTTACCCCATGTTCCGATAAAACCAGCTTGTATAACAGATATCACATCTTGAAAGTCGGTCCAGATAGGACCTAGTTGTTGAATGTGGTTCAGCATTACATTTTTAGTAGCATCGCCATACGGTGCAGATGTTCTCTGAAAATAGTCCGATATTTTTAAATCAACAAGCACTAAACATTAATATTAACAAATCTTGATGATTCCAAAATTTAAAATTATAGAAATATCAAAGGCAGTTTGTCATATTTCAGGTGACTATCAAAACGTTTGGAGCCAAAAGAAGACTAAGGCTTGTGTTATAACAAGTAATAATATTTGATATCTGAATCTGGCAAATCAGCCCTATTCTTACATTAACATTTTCAACAAAAAAATAGTTTAAACATTGATATAAATGATCAATACCTGTGTGGTTGTGTAAGAATAACGTAAGATAACGCTCCATCCTGCTGTTCGTGCTGTTTCCATATCAGTTCGAACTTGATGTAAAAAGGTGACAGACAATGGAGAGTTAACAAACGTATCCAAAACGTACATTCTCAACATAAGACTGAGATGTTTTGCATTTCGTACACTGTCCAGATTATTTACCTGTAAATTAATTAATAAACATGAAATGATTATTTATTATAATTCTGTAGTAATATTGTTTATGTTTTCACGCTATCATTTATTACAATATGATTATTAACATATGACAATGGTGTTGTAATTATGATTCTGAAGATATTTATTATGGTATGATCTTGGTGATGTTTATATGATTCTGAACTATCATACTGATGACATTCATTATGACATGATCCTTGTGATATTTATTACAGGATTCTGAACTATCATACTGATAATGTTCCTTATGCAATGATCCTGGAAATGTTTATTATGATTCTGAACTATAATACGGATGATGTTTATTATGACATGATCCTGCATGGTGATGGTAATTATGAGTGTAAACAATAATGCTGTACTGATGATGTTTTATATGATTCTGAACTATGATAATGGTGTTGTTTATTCTCAGGTTTGAACTATGAAACTGATTTTATTATTATTCCGAATAATGCATGAATGGTACAAATGTTGATCATTCTAGATTTATGAGACGCGCGATGTTGATAACGTTGAATACGCTTCCAGACAATGTGTTTATTATGCATTCTGGCATGATTTAAAGAGTACATAAAATGACTAAACAAAATTATCGCTAGTGTTTACTGAATACGCTTTAAAACAATGTCACATCAATCTAATTAAAATTATTCGATATATTGCAGTTTATGATTCTGGGCACGATAGAACTATAATACTGGCTCGCTTAACCATAGGCGTATGTACGTGGAACTGGGGGTTTCGTGTTTGATACGCTGTTTTGGCCAAGAAAGTTCATCGGGATTTTCTGGCGTGATTCCTCCTTGTAACTGGTGCAGGACGAGGGACCTGGCGCAGAGCGTCTAATCGTGTACACGTAGGAATAAAAGGCCGTAGGGCCGCTGTGTTGATAAAATTCCCCTGGATAGAGCAGAAAAGTAGGACATTAAACATATCATTTCGTTTCTTAATTTCTGTGATACTAATGAATTTACTATAATCCCTATCTATGACACTGGTGATATTTCAAATTGTGTATGGTAATTTTATTCTCAAATAAGATAAGGGTGTGGGTGGACGAATAGTTTAACGCATCTGTCAAGTGGCGTGGTTTCGATCCACCGCTTGTACGTATAAGAAGGGGTAGGATCGCCTGGATGTTTATCCCCAATTCCATCTCCGCAATTTTTTCGTTATGATTTTATCATTTTGTTTCGATGTGCTTTACTGTGGATTGTGGAATTTAGAATGAAAGTCGCAGTACAAACACGGCAGATATCATAAATAGTCTAAAACTGTACCCACAACCACCATCCACCTACCCATCTATCCATGTTTATCTGTTTCATTATTTTAAAGAAGATAATACACTCACTGTCAATGGATTAAACGAACTGGCTTTCGTCTCAAATTGAACATAGAAGCCCCGCCCCGGATTTTGTATTAAATCACTTGATTCTTTATAATGAATAACCTGGTACCTACAAATATTAATTTGCAATATTACATGATTTCATCAATCTAAAACCTTTAAAAACAAGAGCAACGTTACCGCTGCAATATACGACCACATTCCTGCCTTGATTGATATGGTAATTATTAAAATGAAGAGAATTCAATATGAAATGGATGCAACGACTGTAATATGATAAGAGGCAAAGAAGGCTAGGTGTTGGGTTTGTTTTGCCAAAATTCACAAGACTTAATTATTAAAGTAACTAAGTCTCTAACTCAATATCATCCAAAATCTTCGGCATTGAAAACACAAATTATTTGTCAATTTAAATCAACATTGATGTAATCTTACCGGGAAATGATGGGCTTCTGATATCCAATATTTAACACGAAATAAACATTTTACCATTAGTACACGAATCGTGTACCATAACGCGTTTCAGGGGATATGATTCGTCCTCTCATGACCCCAATACCACACACCAAATTTGAAACAGATCCATTACACGCTGTAACTTCTGTCACGTTAACAAGGTTTTTGGAAAAATGTCGCGGAACACTGCATATCGAAGGGTTCATCCACGCATCACCCCAATGCTTCACTCCATATTTGAAAGATAGGTTGCCAGGCAACTAAACATACGCCCACAGCAGCTAAATCGTCAGTGCAGTCAACACGAGTTGTCGCATATTTTTTTACTTTTTTCGGTAATGAAACAATTATAATACACTAAAATCTGATTAAGAGTAACAACTCATTATGTAATTATCAGAATTTGTTTGGTTTTTATAAAGTTCTGCCCCATGCTAACGTGATCAAGGGCCATAACTTTGGCAGTAATTATCCGAAATCGCTGAAAATCAATAGGATTCTTCGTCTCGTGACCTTAAATACTGTGTATAAATTTCAAGTCATTCGGATATTAACTGTAGCCTCTAGAGAGACCGCAAGATTTTTCAAAGTGATCAAGGGCCATAACTCTGGCAGTAATTATCGGAAATCGCTGAAAATCAATAGGCTTCTTCGACTCAAGACCTTAAACACTGCGTATAAATTTAAAGTCATTCAGATTTTAATTTTAGCCTCTAGAGCGTCCACAAGATTTTTCAACGTGATCAAGGGCCATAACTCTGACAGTAATTATCGGAAATCGCTGAAAATCAATAGGATTCTTCGTCTTATGACCTTAAACACTGAGTATACATTTAAAGTCAATCGGATATTAACTTTAGCCTCTAGAGCGTTCACGTGGATGCCAGACCGACGTACGGGCGGACGGGGGCGAAAACAATATACGACCATATTCAATGTGGGCGTATAAAAATACATGTTAAAAACTGTAGAATATATGGTGTAAACAAGGTTTTCGAACAAGGGGTGAGAGCGAGGGGGTAACTCCGGAGCACAATGCTGCAGAGCACTGATAATCGATAGAGTTCGTCCTCGCACGACCCCAACTCATCAAACCAAATCTGATAAATATAGCCTCGCAAAGCGTGGAAATACGCCTACACAAACAGCAATGTCTCGCGTGTCTCAACAGTAGTTTATTTGTAAGGAAAACTTTGACGTTAACCAAATTTGATATTTCAGCAAATAGGGATTTCACCCGGGAAATGAAAGTCGCAGAATGGTGAATACAGATAGGGATAGGGTTCGTCCTCTAATGGCCACAATGCTTCGCACAAAATCTGAAAAGAATCCGTTAAAAACTATAGCCTGTTTTTGGCAAGCGAGGGGGGGGGGGGGGACATGTAACTCTAACGGAATATCGAAGAACGCTAGAAATCAGTAGTGTTCGTTTTCTCACAACCCCAATGCTTGATTCACACCATGCATGAAAAGCACCCGTCCAAACTCGAGTCTGCGATGACAGAATGACTAGGACAGTATCTCCAAAATGGAAAATCAGGGAACCCTGAAAATGGATAGGGATCATCTTCTCATGGGAGAATAACTCCAGAACACAATGTCGTAAAACGCTGAAAATCGAAAGGGATCACCCTGTTAAAGTTTGCAGTCATCACACCAAATTTGCCCCCCCCCCCCCCCAAAAAAAAACGTCAAAAATTCGAGCAATTTTTGGCGGACAGACGGGCCAACGGACGGACGGGTAGACGATCATGATATTCAAACTACGTGTGGAGCTTATGTCTGAACTAAAATAATGTTCCATTATATACTCTTCAAAAAAAGTAGGGGATATGGAAATGCAAATACCTATGCAGGTTGTGATGTGATAAATAGTCATGGACACTTGACATGCTTTGAGAGTATGTTCACAGATGAAGAACGTATCGCCCCGACAGAACCACTGGGCTGCACGCAATAGCGCCATACACGTAGGAGGGGCCCTGTTCATTGTCAAATTTGACACTTCAAGGAAAGGTTGATGAAAACTGCTGCGTGCTGGTTTATCCTATCCATGTTTGCTTTCCTATCGATTCTTGCACAAGATTTACTGTTTAGCGTATCTTTGCTTTAGTGTGTTACGTTTAATTTGCAATGAGACGTCTTTAACATGATGAACGTCTACGTGCTATTGGCATGCTTCAAATGGGTTCTACACAGCGAGCAATAGCCAGTCTGTGATCAGCAGACTGTGGAACCGGTACCAACAAACACACAATGTTGATGATGGACCTCGTTCAGATCGTCCTAGAGCCACTACACAAGCCCAGGATCGATACATTCGTACACAGGTCCTGCAAAATCGAGGACAAGCCGCCAATCAGCTTTCTGTAAACTTGTACCAAGTTACAGGAATTCGAGTTACACCCCAAACGATTAGAAATCGGCTACATGCAGCCCATTTGCATGCGCGACGACAACGTGTTGTGCCTCCATTAACTCGCTAGCACATGACAAACAGGCGTCAATGGTGTTGGCAGCGTAGAAATTGGGGTAATCGTCGATGGGCGCGTGTAATGTTCTCAGATGAGTCCAGATTTACCCTGGATTTCACCGATTGGCGTGCTCGCGTTTGGAGGCGTGTAAATGAGCGTCATGCTAACGTTAACGTCAGACAGCATGACAGATTCGGGCATGGGTCTGTTATGGTGTGGGGAGGAATCACCATGACTGGCAGAACGGACTTGCATATTGTTCAAGGCAGGGTCACTGGTGTGTACTACCGTGATCACTTCCTTCAGATAAGCCGCCCGTATGAACCGTTTTATGTTCATGTGTAGGCAATTGGCCTGTTATTAACATACACTGGTTACCTCTAATAGAAACAGCAGTGCATTTCCGCAGTTTTGTATTGTTTCTGAATATCCCCTACCTCTTTTTGAAGAGTATAATATGACTATATCCAGATTCCAAGTCATCAAACGATCAATTATAACAAATTTATAATTACCCACGTAGGTCTGAACAGCCGTTACATGCTCCTGTAAATCAAAAAGTCTAGTATTATAAATTAAATTTCAGAATATTTTTCATTCGGTCTATTTCTTATAATTTATAAGGACGAAATGTGTACATGGAAAGGGTGTGTTATTTCTTGGATAATATTCGGACCCTTCACAGTGCCAGATTCAGGGTCCTCGTACCACCAGAAAGCTCCTGTAGAAAACGGGCCAGTTGGAACGTGCTATTAATTCTTGTATATAAGAATAATAAAGATATACTATGTAGAAGAAACACCAGACGCAACTAGAAGAATCCACGCCTTGAACATATTCGGTCAAAGTGGCAGCGTAGTCAAACAGGACCACGAATCCGCATTATTACGAATATCATTCTGAGAACCAAAATTTTAACAAAGAGATGTAGTGTCCAGTTTCGGTTTGACCATTACGATAATTTGCATTTACAGACTAATGTATATCAATACTCAAACTCAATTTACCTTCAATAATGTTAATTTGGAACAGAACGAGCAAAAACTTTACTAGGTCACCAACCGCCATTTTCGTCTTCTTATGCTATCTTCTTATCTACGAAATACTTATCAATCTAAAAGGTTAACCATATAACATTACTTTAAAGAGACGAAAGGGGTGTTGAGGATACAGAAAATCTACATTTACATAAAATAGTAAGTAAGTAAATTAAGACGACATTTGTACATAGATCCGTGACAATCCCTTCTTAGAGATTAAATTATAGTCAGTTTCCAGATACATGTACCAGACAACCAGTGGCGGATTACCCATGGCGCAGGTGGCGCACCTGCGACAGGAACCCAAGGTTTAGGGGTCCCTCACAAGGTTAAAATACAGAGAAAAAATTTAACAACTACATAAACAATATCAACCTCTGTGAGTAAAAACGAAATTTAAGGAGCTAAATCGCCAATATTTTGGACCTAGAAATTGACACAAATGGGTCGCACCGCATATAATAATTACTGTAATTTCAAATCAGTTATGTTCGACGAAATACGCCAGATATCTCAATCGAATGGCAATCCCTGGCATCTGGTTATTCCAGTCTACGCCGGTAGTATTTATCGCGCACTTCTTTCCAGATAAGAAAACTTGTCTACGATATTACCTTGGTGGAAGTGGACGGGTCCCTTAATTTGTAACAAATGGCGCTGAAACGAATTATAGTACACGATTCGTGTACCAATGGTAAAATGTTTATTTTGTCTTGAATATTGGATATCAGAAGCCCATCTTTTCCCGGTAAATGTTGATTTAAATTAAAAATAGTTCGTGATTTCATGATACTTAGCTACAATATAAAATATTCAGTGTATCTGCAATATTTGATATTATATAGGATCCCATATTTCAACGGTAAGATCTCAACATCAATATGGAATGAAATCAGGCCCATAGCTAGCCCATTGGAAAATAATCGCACTTTCCACTGTCGAGTGACATTGGTTGGGCGACTACGACAAGATTGGTGAGACACCCATAAAACCAAATGGCGAGGCGCATCATAATGAATTACACGAATAATATAACACCACAACTTGATGATGGGGCGCCCAAAACGCCGTGATCTGTGGGGTGTCTTATCCCGGAAATTCAAACAAGTCGCACTGTAACCCGATTCCGAATATTCGTTTTTCTCATAAATTATTATAGGTACACTAAAGTGGTATTCCTTCCTTCAAATTTATATGTTTATATCAATATCGTAAATTCAGCCTCAAAATTGAGCTTTTCAGCCATTTTTAGTTTCTCTCCTCAGGTGCAAACCCTATTTTCCAAAATTTTCCTGTGGGGGGGGGGGGCACCCTAGACGGTGCATAAGCGCCCCCCAGAAGCCCTTGTTCCCACCCCACCCCAACCCCCCAACATTATTGGGCTAGCTACGGCCTGGACATGGGCCAATATTTAATTCGAATATTTTGGATAATATCGAGTTAGAGGTTTAGCCGATTGTTATTATTGTAACTGACTATAGGTGACAGGTCACTAGACCGTAATAATTAATCACTCCCACCTGCTGGAATAAGTGAGAGCAAATCTGTTATTTCACTAAATAATGCTTAATTTAGTGACTATTTAGTTTCCATCAACCGCAACGAGATAATCGAATTCAAGAGCAAATTACTCTTCTGAAAGCGATTCTCTATAGATTGAACAGCCGAAATTATATAATACATTTTTATTGTAACAAATATAATAAAAATATTAAATACAAATACACAATATACATATATAATATCTGAAGACGCCTATAGAGGGCAGACAGCTATATAGCCAATATGATTTTATGTATGCCAAAATGAAGTGGGGAATTTTTTACCTGGACGTATTTTTTATTTATTCATTATATATATATATAATTAAAATTCAGATATTAGAGAAAAAATCCCCACCAAAAATTACATTTTTGGCTAGTACTTTCATCGTTATTAAACGAATCGTCAAGCCATTTTAATGCATTACTATGCTGTTACAATAACGTTACGCCATAACAGAGAAAAATGACATATTATGTAAAATATAAAAACTAGAACGAAATAACATTAATTAAACATCAAACATAATTAAAATAAGCACCCCTTAGCATTCAAAATTGGGTTATATTTAGCGATAAAGTTGCTTTCTTTTGTTTCCAAGAGATCATTATCACTAATATTGAACATTATATAGCCTATACGTAAAGGTAAAGACAACGCCGGTATAATGAAATTATTATGCAGATAGTGTGTATTATTGTAATATGGTCCATATTTAAAACAGTGTATCTTCTTTCCTTCCCAAAGGAAACTTATCACTGGGCTCAGCATTTGAAAGCACTTTAATCTATTCCCCACTGGACATCATCTTTGCTGATTCAATTGTGCTTTTAGATGCCGAGCTAGACTGAATTTCTTTTGAGTCACACAAACATTACTATTGGGTGACACTAATCACCGAACTTTCATACGAAAAATCCATAAAATCTTCAAATGAAAATTGGGAAGATGAACAGGGATAGTTATCTAAAGCGTTGTAGGTGGAGGTTTTGGAGGTGGAACCCTGGTATTACTTGAAAGTATGAATGTTGAATCATCATTTCTGTTGTCAAAGTGTCGAAGCGATTCCTGTTTTCAAAATCAAAACTCTTGATTGTTTTGGAAATGAATATGAAATGAAATGGGGTTTAACGTCCTACTGTTCTGCTTCGACTGGGCTAATGAAGACTGGCATGCGCCATACAGTGTGCTATGAGGGAAATTTGGCCCGTGTAGCGGCACTGTTGCCTACGCTTATATCGAATTCCAACTATCAAGCGATCTTTTACGAATACACGGGACATCGGGTTTTCGTACCATCCGAACGACTAGACAGCTGTCCTTGTCAGGCCCTCCGTCCTGTTCCACTGACAACGGGAAACTACGCCGGAAAATCTCGATGAACTTTCCCGGCCAATACAGGGATCGAACACACGACCTGCAAGCTAGCGAGCCACCGTGGCTCCCTGGGTGTTTTGAGTTCGGGTCGTCGTGGTAAAATATGCATGTATTGTCAGCAACTTTTAATTTGCAGGTGATAAGGTAGTATTCGACCATAGTATCTGCTTTTGATCAGATTGCAGCCCAGCCTGAAATTTTTGGCAGATGATGTCCTTAGAATACGAACATTAAGGAGATCTGCAGTAGCGGACCTAGGTGCCCCGCTCCAAATAACAGTATACAATATTCATTTATAATTCTGTTTCTATGAAACGTATAAATTGAAGGTTTTTGTTGGTTGGGGTGATGTAGCTGCTGATGAAATTGAATGTCATATTCAGGTTCAAATATGCGCTACAATTCAACAACCATGGAGACTCTCATTTGTCAGACAAGTACCGGCTATACATGTATAAAGCAGGATTCTCCATAGTCTAGAGAGTATACACCAAAATGAAATTTGTTCTTTACGTGGAATGTTTGTTGGGCACCATTTCTATACAAGTCCGTGGATATTTATTTGGAGCTCAGATGGTTAGTTGCTGAGACTAATAATATGAGATCTGTAAGGAGTTGCAATGACGGGACATTTTAAAACAATGTCCTATTTACATTCTTATGCAAGGCAAATGATGGCATTCATCTTTAGCATTATATCAATCTGATTAAAATACGTATCTATATTTCGTTTCGTTTTTCTATACATTCGATATGAAGATCTAACCGATTGTAGTGGAAGGTCGCGTCAGAGGTCATACGAGCGGCTTTTGACCCTATGATGTCAGACATTTGGTAAACCAATCACCGTTGATGTTTCTAGTGGGTTACCCACAGTTCCGTGCACCTCACCGTGACAGACCGTATCATTGGCTAATTCCCTCACATCATCCAGAACGCGGGTTATATAATAACTCTTCCAGATCCTAGTGTAGGGTTAGTGCTAAATGATAACGTCAGCTTAATAATTATTTTTCGTCGTAGGTCACGAGATGTAAACAGGATTAGAGCTAATCCCAATCCTAACCCTGGACCTAGCCCCAATGCTTACCCTAACCCTAACCTACAATCTCGCCAACAACCACGTGTCTTAACCTTATTTACATCTCAACGACCTTGACAAAAATTGTAGTAAAGACAAGTAAAACGAAATTTTGAACTATAAAAAAACGAAACGAAATAGGACCTGTGTTTTAATCAGATTGTCTTTAGTTTATGTACTCGTCTTTGATTTCTCGTTAGGGTTTAAACCGTACAGCATTTGAATGACGCGTTTGTATTCTTCAATTTGAAAATTATGTAAATTGCACGTGGGTTGACAATCGCCAGATGGCATTGAGTTTCTTTATTTACATACACAATAAAAACATTTCCCCCTCTAAACACTTCTTCAGGGAGGTCCAAATTGGGCAGGCTAGAAACAATATAATAAAAATTTCCATACGATAAAAACATACATCTAAAATTCGGTTGTTTTTTTCCAATAATCCCCACTCCATTCATGAAGACATAGGCCCCAATATAGCGAAACCGGGATTTAATAAGAATGGCAGTATTATTTATTAATGGTCAATAATCTCGTTTTGGCTTCTTAAAATGAATACTCGGATGTTACGAAACCTGCCAAACTTTTCCCCGGTAACATTTACCAATATGACATTTATATCCCGCGAGCTAAATGTACAATGCATCCGTAGGTTTTATCTGTGTCCATGTTTCGGCGAAATTCATGAAAACTCATAAAAAATTTGAAAACTTTTCATCACGTCGTCAGATACGTGTTTTCCTGTCACAGATTAACGTCGTTTTTCCCACATTGGGATTCCCGGAAATCCACGGGGCTGCGGGCTCGTGTCCAACCATGACAATCTGTTTCACAGAGAATTACGAGTCTTCTCTAATATCTAATATCACTGTAAAAGATGACTGCCTTTAATGGCTGAATGGCGTGTGCTTCGGGCAGAATGCTGCCTTTTAGTCATTTTAAAGTTACAATTTCATATTTTCTCAGAAAGTCAAAACATAATTATTTCTATGTCTTTTGCTCAATAGGTTGTCAACTCACTATTATACGATCATAGGTGTCATTCTCACACTTAAAACTCATTTACACCGGAAATAATAACACAATTACCTCCCAATTACCTCTCTTGTTTTCTATTCTCCACCATGGAGTAGCTATCTTCAAACCTTGGAATTTGAAGATAAAAATGATATTTTTGCCAATTTCTCAACTGGCAATAGTGAATTATAGGATTAATAGGATTATTCTTTAACAAGGTAGGACGGTTTATAGATACCATCTATTTTAAGGCTTTATTTTAATAAATTTTAAAAATATAACTTAAAAATATGAAATTGCAACTTTAATACCCATTTACACTAAATAGGAAATAATTTTTACCTACAAATACGTCAAACATCTTTATACATCAAAAAAATGTTTTAGAATTTTCTAGGTACCAAGTATTAGCGATTTAGTTCCTTTAAGTTTTATCAGCTCAGAAAATCGCTAGAATACAAGCTCAGTGTTGATATGGTTGCCCTGTGTTTATTTTTGCTATTTTTTGTTGTGAAATCTACAGGTCCATTTCCTTTGCCGATGAAATGAAACATTAATTTTAGCTTCAATGTATCGCCTGGGGGGTGGCTTTATGGACACAATATATTTATTTACTAGTTTACACAAATTAGCTCATGATACAAATTCTTAACACAAATACTGCCCAAGGCTATTACTGGAGTACTGTATAAAACATATTAATTTGTCACATTGGTAATGAATTATTTATATTGGTGTATGATACTTAGGGTCAGATTTAAAAATACATTATGCAATATGTCACAATATATCAATTTTTTTTTTACATCCATGGTAATGTGAGATACAAAAAACAACATAAATTTTATGTTTAGATTTCATTTTATTTATTTTCATTTATATAGTATACAATGTAATAGTTCCATTTTTACATCAGCAGCTTATGTTCTTTCTTATTTATTGTGTATAAAAAGAATAAACATTCCACAAATTCTTAAGAAGTTTATTAAATATCTCCATTTTCAGTCATATGATTCTGCAAATGCATATCAATTTTATTTGACAGAAAAGACCACAAATTAGTTGGTAAATTTTGATTTTTCAACAATCAATTATTGAATTTCTTTTCATGAAAATTGACTCTTGGGTAGATTTTTCAAGAAGCTTGTATCACTTGTAAACAAGTCCATACACACTTTCCTTTTACATTAAACTATTTACACCAATTTCACCAATCACTGTTTGTTTTTCTTCTTGAATTTTTTCTTTTTACCATGCAAATCTTTAGGTTTAATATCCTCTGTTATATTTTGTTTTCTTTTTAAAGCACTACAATTAAAACATTTTTACAGAAATACAGGAATAGCATCAGCAAGAATTAAAATGAAATGGCATTTCATTTTCTGCACCAACTTGGAAAACACATAAACGGAACACAATTTTTATGGGAAACAATCACTGGTTCTATCATTGTGCTTGGCAATGATAAGAGGATACGTAGTGCTTTCAGAATAAAACCAGTGATTGTTTCCCATAAAAATTGTGTTTCGTTAATGGGCTATTGAATATGGACATACACCATTCAGTGTCCTATGAGGGCAATTTAGCCCAGACAGTGGCTTTTGTGACTACTCTTTATCAAATTTCAACTGTCAATGGTTCTTTTATGTGGAAAGCAACCTGTACATGGGTGGATCTGTTTTCCTACCATCCGAACAACTAGATGCTTTCTTTGTCAGACCCTGACAAGGGGAAACCAGGGTGGAAAATCTGATGAAATTTTCTTGACCAAAATCTAGATGAAACCTGAGACTTCCTGGTTAGCGAGCCAGCCCTATACTTACTAAGCCACATAAAGTTTCACACAGAAACAGCCCTAAACGTTGAAGAGAAATATATACGCAAGCCTGGAAATAAGGCACCTGTCACAGACAATGTCAGGCACAAATACAGACTTTGTCAGACACAACACCTCTGGTGCCTGTCATTTTTTCCGTCATAAATTTGTATTTTTGATTGATATTAATACATGTCCGGCACTAAGTTGAAAATGTCAGGTACTATTTCATTAGTGCCGGACATTTTGTCAGGTACATCTAAAACCGTTATTTCCAGGCCTGAATATACGATATGTACTTATGTTTTATATAATATATAGTCATCATAATCTGATGGAGTATACCTTTTTATACTTAGTGTATCTTTGTTCCCACAATCTAATGCTTGTTGCCAATCTTTATCAGTTCCTTTAATAGCAAATTCACCCAAATCATCTTTTAATAACTTTTCAAAATTTTTCTTTTCCCTCTCCATGACAACACCAGCTCCTTCCATCTAAAGAAGATATATTATGAAGAATGAATACCAATCATTTTACTTAAAACTTGCGTTCAAAAACCATCAAATTTGTGCAGAAAAGCATATGACAAAATTCAATACAAATCTAGATTAAGGGTCACCACAGATGGTCTGTATTAAATCACCATATTGTTCAAATGATAATAACCTAAAGCTTGCAATTTTCATAGAAACAGAAGTCAATTTACAATTCACCCTGTCAAAATATCGGGTATTTTAATACACAGGAATCAGAACTATCATTTTTGGGCAACATTAAACCCACTGTGTGTTTATTGCCTAAAAAGCTAGAGACAATGTCATATCTGTTACATTAAAAGGTTTTATCTAATGTATTATAAAATGACAAAGCTTTTATCAAGATGGCTCCAAGTCCAAATCTTTTTTACAAAATGTCCTTGCAATAACAATAAAATAGAACAGTTTAATATACTGGTACATACAAGGTCGTCGTTTAAACTCTGTTTAACTGGTTTCATATCTATCTTCTTTTCTTTCACCATTTCTTGAGCTATTTCTTGTTCCAAGATGCCACTAAAAACCTGAAAAACAATTATAAAATATTAAAATACAGTATGATTATCAAGTTTCGTCATCAATATGTGATGTACACAGAGAGCTGACCGTTGTTCCTGTAAGTGATCGGTTCAGTTAACTATCGAAGGTTTACTATAACAAACGGAATAACATGTTACCGTTCAAGATTAATATAGATCACTTATGTGAACCATAAACCAGTTTGATTCTATGATTTTGGTTGACCTACACTACACTTTATTTATTCATTTTTTTAGCCTTTTCTGAAATTTTATTTGGATCATTGTCCTTATTATTGTTAACATTTTGAAGTTCTAACCCGTGACAGCAAGTGACAGACTATCGCCATCAAGAAATGCCATTCAGAAGACAACCACTGTAAAGACTGATCGCATTATTTGTTTCTTTGTTGTAAATCATTGTTTTGTTTTTCATTTTGAGTGAAACCTGTATCATTACACACCAGGGACTGTAGTGTACAGCGCAGTGGACACTTATAGCTGACCCCCAGATCCATTCACATAATTTGATATTTGATGCTTATTGCTTGCAATTTCTGTGTAGTTTGTGTCTTGTTTTGTTTACATGTGGTAGAGACTGATAATTGATTGATTTTTTTCTTATACAATGTAAAATATTAACTCACCTGAACCACTTTCTTGATAATTCTAAGAAAGAGGGCTAATAACTGACTGACCGGTAAATCTATCTCTTTCTCTAAATCTTCTACTGTTTTATATTGTAATCCTAGACCTAATAATATACCCTATAAATATAAACATTAAATCTTATGTTAATATACCCTTTATAAATAATCATTAAATATTCTATTACAAGAGTTCCTGTGTTCCAGAAAGTGTGACAGATGTGCCAGGGAGGGAGAAAGGGAGAGAGAGAGAAACCCATTGTCCCCTAAAAAGGTGCAAAGTTGAATTGTTTGTCATAATAGCAAGACTACATGATTAATATATTTCAATTATTGTAAATAGATTCAAAAGTGATTATTTTTTTATTTAGTTATTATCATTGTAAATATAGGGATATGATTTGTAGGACTTTGAGAATTTGGCCAGCATTACTTAAGACAAAGTCTTTCACGTGCACAGAACAATTTACACCTTGAATAATCAGATACATGTATGTACAAGCTTCATATACTAAGAAATGATTGTCTATTACCTGCTGAACTACAGAGAGTGAAATGGGTATTCTTCCTAGAAAATATAATCGACTTATACAGGGCAATAAATCTAATATAAGATGATAATCCACCATATTCTGTGAATATAACTCTAAACGCTTCAAATCATAACTTGTAAAGAAAATCTCTAATTCACTACGAGAAAGTTCCCCTGAAAAAGAAAATAACCCAAGTTTGAAATAAGTTAGACACAATGTAATATAATTTTTGAATTTAATAGGAGAAACAATCCTAAATTGAGCTTGAATGTTGCTCCTATCAAATTCAATTCTGTTTTATTTCAAGTGATCACTTAAACAAGTTTTAAATATTTATCCTTCATCTAAATTACTAAAGAAGGAGCTAAGGTGAAGACGAAGTGTTGAACTACATTGACCAATAGTGAAGCGATGTAAGTTTATATGATTTTATTTCAATACATATTTATGTTTCACTTTTGTTTCGGACCATCAAAATCAGTTACATCTCAACACTGGATTACTTAAAGAAGTAAGATTTATAATATATTAAAGAAGTGCTAAACCTCTTAGTTTTGATTCAAAATAAAGTGTTGGTTTCATATGATAGATTATGTCAACAGGTTATGGAAGAAGCTATTTAAGATTCAATTTTTGTTTTGAAAGATAAACTGTTAAACACAAAAGTATAAATGTAAAGATACCCATTTTGTAAAACAGTGCTTTAAATGAAATTTATTTAAATCGAAAATTGTTTTTTTTACTCATATGGAAAAACACATTACATGTGAACAAACATTTCATTTTTCGCACAGATTTTGTGTGTTTTAAATTTATGACGATTTAATTAGGATACTACTAGTACATCATATAAATTTTGTTGTATGACATTATTACCTACATGTATATAGAAAACTTTAGCTATAAAATAACATACAGTACATACAAAATTTTACAGTAACTTAAAAACAAGTAAAGCCTGTTTTTATACATAGATAATCCAACTTACTCTGATCTTTATGTTTGAACTGTTTTTGTGAGAGAATATTCAGTGCCATTGCTGGTTTGAAATTACGGAACTGGAATGATAACAATGAAACCATTCTCCTCCGGAAATCTAAATGAAAATAAAAAATAAACTGAATATTAAAGTAAATATTTATTACCCGGTACTTTACATTTCAAGTTTGCTAATTCTTGCTATTACTGCTGTATTCAGCAATGTTCATCATATTCAGTTGGGGCAAGCTTTGTTACCCAATTCTCATTTACAGAAAGTTTAATTTAATATCCCTATCAAATATTTTGTTGACAAAATAATGACATATATGTATACCATTCCAATAATGATGAAGCCAATCAGTGTTAGTCTGTGTACCACCATCAGAGTTGAGAATTTTTAACATAATACAAGAATGTTCCCCTGTTAATTCATTCTGTAAAATAGAGTGAAGAAAAAAATCTAAAACCATTCATTAATATTTCTTTAGTCTGTTATTTGAAAAGAAGATGTTTAATACCAAAATTTACATTTATAAGAACAATGTTTCAAAATAAACAACAGAGTTTAAGACCATGCACAATTAAAAATATTCGAACAACCAGCGGCTGCAAGGCAGGATACACCCACATTTCCGAGAGATGGATAGAGAACAAGCTAACAAGAAAGTGATTTTTCCTACAATCAAGGGCCATAATTCAGGAAATTACAATTCGATATGCGCATATATCGAAAGGAACTGAACAAACGGCAGCCATTTTGTCTGTCAATTTTGGGCCGATTTTCACGAATTTCGAACTCAGTCGTCCTCAGGGTGTAACGGTGATATAATAATACGTTTTTTTAAATCGGATAAAAATTATGACCTCTATAGGATCCACAAGTTACGGTCCGATATGTGTGAATATCGAAAGGAACCAAGATCTTTGGGTTATAAACTTACATTTCAAGTTTCAACAAAATCGGATAAAAATTGATATAACATATTCTTATGCTATTCCAGAACGAACGGCGGCCATTTTGTCTGTCAATTTTGGGCCGATTTTCACGAAATTCGAACTCAGTCGTCCTCAGGGTGTAACGGTGATATAATAATACGTTTTTTTAAATCGGATAAAAATTATGACCTCTATAGGATCCACAAGCTAAAAACACAATTTTTCGAACAATCAGGGGCCATAATTCAGGAAGTTACGGTCCGATATGTGTGAATATCGAAAGGAACCAAGATCTTTGGGTTATAAACTGACATTTCAAGTTTCAACAAAATCAGATAAAAATTGTGACCCCTATAGGGTCCACAACCTTGATATACCATATTCTTACGCTATTTGGGAACGAACGGCGGCCATTTTGTCTGTCAATTTTGGGCCGATTTTCACGAAATTCGAACTCAGTCATCCTTAGGGTGTAACGGTGATAATATAGAATGTTTTTTTAAATCGGATAAAAATTATGACTTCTATAGGGTCCACAAGCTAAAAACGTCATTTTTCGTACAATCAGGGGCCATAATTCATGAAGTTACTGTCCGATATGCGCAAATATCGAAAGGAACTGAGATCTTTGGGTTATAAACTTACATTTCAAGTTTCAACAAAATCGGATAAAAATTGTGACCTCTATAGGGTCCACAAGCTAAAAACGTGATTTTTCGTACAAACAGGGGCCATAATCCATGAAGTTTCGATCCGATACATGCCAATATCGAAAGCAGCCGAGATCTTTTGGGGATAAACCTATATTTCAAGTTTCGTCGAAATCGGATAAGAATTGTGACCTGTAGAGAGTCCACAAACAATTGTGGACGGACGGACGGATGAACAGGGGCGACGGCATAATACGTCCACATGAAAATGTGGGCGTATAAAAACCATATTAATCTGAATATTATCCCAACTGATTGATTTTAATGGATGATTTGACCATTTGTAGTTTATGTTATAATTAGTTTCTACTGCTTTCATACCACCATCTTTATCTGGTTGTTACAGTGTCAAACATTTCTTTTTTTGTATTCATGAATATAAAGACTATGACTTTTGACAAAGCAGATCTACATATAAGTCTTGTGTTCACAAATTCAAAGAAGATTAAATTGACATATATCTATGTTTTAAAACATTCTCCTCATGCTGTACATGCATGTAAATATACCAGTGTTGGGATTTCAAATTTTTCTTGTTAGATATTTTTACCGAAAATAAAGGGGCATAACTCACACTGTTTTTAAGCGGGTGGGTACAGACCACAATTAAAAATCATCTCAACAAATTATTCAAATTCATACATAATTAAAAAAAAAATAGATATTTCTCATATTTAATTCCCGTAGGTTATTCAAATTTATGTCAGTAATATTCCTACAAAATTACGTGTTGTCGTAATATGATAGAATAAAAGCGTACCGCCAGTAATATTCCTCTAAAATGACCATATTTTTGGGGGTATAAATCCATACTTTTTTTCAGCAGAAGTCCGACCTTCGTTGTATTCTCCGTTTCGACTTATATATGAATGAACGTATAAAAACACAGCCGTAGCAAGGCAAGATACGCCCACATTTTCCAAGAGATGGATAGTGATTTTCGTACAATCAGGGGCCATAATCCAGGAATATTGAAAGGGATTGAGATATTTGGGATATAAAGATATATTTTTAGTTTCATCAAAACTGGATAAAAATTGTGACTTTCAAGGGTCCACAACCTTGGTATTACATACTTTTACACTATTTGCATACAAGGAGCGGACATTTTGTCAGGGAGTTCCGATCCGATTTTCATGAAAATCGAACCCAACCGTCATTATGGTGTAATGGGTGATACATTTAAACGTTTTTATAATCGGATAAAAATTGTGACGTCTAGAGGGACCACAAGCTAAAAACGTACAATCAGGGGTCATAATCCAGGAAGTTACTGTCCAATATGCGTATCTTGTAATTTTACGAATCTCGCAAGATTTCTACTTTAGTTTTTAGTTAATGTATTATAACCACGTGTCTTTAGAAACATCATCGAGTATTTATCAGGATATGTGTGTGTGTGCATGAAATCGCTTTATTTAAAGTGATATCGCAGACAATTTATCGGATATATTGAATTTGGGTTTTATATACTATTACATGTGACATAAGTGACTAGTTTCTACATGTTGTCAGGTGACATCAAGTTTATAATCACTCTTATTGGATTTATACATAGTGCGACAAAGGAGAAGCAATGATTTCTGTTCAGGATTGGATTGATGAAGTGTCTGACAAAGGATTAAGTCAGTCAATCAAGGCAGATTAAGTAGTTAACCAAGGTAGGGCGAAATCCCAACACTGAAATATACTGTTCAAGACATATGGTTAGAACAATAAGTCCTTTTCTCCTACCTGAATAAGGATATATCCAGAGACATAATATATTACATTGTTTTATATAATATAGATCAGTGTTTTTTAAATCATAGTAAATCAAACTTGATTTCAAGACTTACAGGTGTTTGTCGAAGATAAACTGGTGCAAAGCCACTTTTTTTCCAAAATCTGAAAATAAATTAGAAATAGACTTTTATCTGTTTTTAAAAATAGATAAATAAATAAGTATTACTATACTGATATATATAACGAATTTTATTAGTTTAATAAAAGCAATATGAGAACAACAATATTATAAACAGTAATTAGACTTGTTTAGAACTGATTTAAGAATTATTTAGATTTTTCTACACATGAAGTACACCAGTTTGAAACAATATTCTGGAGCAGTATTTAGAATTTATCAATCTGAATAATTTTTGGATAAAATATAATTTTTAGCTGAAGTAGTTCAATAAAAGTGTGGGGTTTCAAATTCTATATTTGACCTCTGTTTTGGCATAACTACTTACCGCAAAAGATCTGATGTTAAACCATATGATACACCAAGATAATCCAATCTCTCTGCCTTTCTTTCACTCAACTTCAATAATAATGGAGGTAGATTTTTTCTTGGAGCTAATCTTTCTTCTAATAAATCTATGTCCTGCAGAAAACATCTCTATTTTATACTCTCAGAAATAACAATACTATCAAGAGAACTTTTTCAGGGCTACAAACACTTAGAAAATTAGTCATTCTTTGTTCAACTACAGGTACAACAGACTCTGATATCTGTAACAAAATCTGAGGTTGTTAAAATGATGTTTAAATTAACCAAATGGTACGTCTCAAGAAACAAAAAGTATCTAAAATATTCTAAACAAAGTTATTTTGATCAAGTAAATCCAACACTTGTCTTGTCTTCAATCGTGGGTAGTTCATCCTGTGAGCATTAGATTAACCAGATTTCAGCTTCTCTATGCATTTTTATACATTAAACAAGACCAATAATATATATACATGAATGGCTGGAAATTGAATTTTTTTGTAATGTTAATCTAGACAAGTAATAGATGTACTTTATTGGTTGAAATTTGAATTCATGAAAAAAAATTCAGCTAATTAGAAAATTTCAACTCACTTTCTATGTAAAATGACCATGCATGATGATCTAAACTCAATGGAAATAGCCAGAAATCAACAAAGAATGTATCCAATGTTCAAATGATATGACAATGTTATGTTCACTAAGCCACTATAAGTATGTTTTGGGATTATACTGGTACATAGATTACCTCATTATCGACAGTAGGTATATCTTGTTCTTCTTTAGCACCATCTTCTGTTAAACTTTGTATTTTACCTTCATAATACTCCTGTAAAACTTTCATAGCTCGACCTCCATATCCAAACTGTAAAATATACATTATATAACAAAGCTACCTTACAAAACTTTGATAATTGGACCCCCCTATAACCAAACTATAGAATATACATTATGTTATCTGGTAGAACTTTGATAACTAGATTTCCATAACAAAACCATTAAATATACATTAAGCCATATAAAAATAATCTTGTTCATTGTCGGAAGGGAGGTTTTTATTTCTTTTTTTTTTAAAAGCCAATGAAGAATAAATATACAGTTTACTATTAACATAGATAGATCAAGTGTCACGTGCTTTAGAAGATAATAGTTACCATCTCAGTTCTATAACAAACCTTTCACAGCTAGATGAAAGAGGTTTTTTGTATTATGTATTTTATTCATATTTTTAAAAAAAAAACCCATAAAATAAAATAAGGGTTGGATAGATCTATCAAGACAATCACTAAGTTTCATTTTTATGTAGTCTTATACAAATAATCGCCCTCTAAAACTTTGATAGCTTGACCCTCATAATCAAACAATAAAATATACAATGCTAAAAATCATTATCCTGTATAACTTTGATAACTAAACAATAAAACATACATTATATACTAACCCCTTGATAATCTGGATGTGTTGCTATTCTGACTATTCTAGCACCAGACAGACTAGGAAAATCATGATCCTGAAACTAAAAGCAATAAAACGAATAGTAAAATGAATTGTAATAATGAAATAGTTTCTCATTCCTTCTTTGAGTGGCATTTAGCAATTGACACACATTGTAATAAACACAAAACCATAAACTTCAATAAAACAGTAATTGTGTTCCATATTAGGGTTTTGTGTTTATTAGTTTCTCCATTGTTAATTAGCTTTTCAGCTTATTGAAGTCATAGAATAAAATATTAATTAAACAATCTAATACATGTGCATGTGTTACACATACATTTGTTACCATTGACATGACAGCAACTGGGCACAGCGGAATTTATTTCAAAATTTCACCAACAGACAATTTATGTATGTATTGTGTTAAGGGTAATCATTTGGGATAATTAAAACTAGTGGTCATTTTCATGTCTATATCATACATATTATATAAAATATTTACCTGTTGTGATACTGTCCATGGTATTAAATCACCTGATGCTCTCATACCTCGTGATAAACTATTCATAACTGTCTTCTTACTTATCTCCCCTTCTAAACATACCTATAGGATGTAAAATATTACAAACTGTGTATATTTAGCCAGTTCCTTGCATGAACAGGTTTTTTTTGTATCAGCCTTTCTCGATTTCTGAAGATTGAACAGCATATAACAAGCAGGAGATGTTGATTTGATTTGTAACACTTAATTTCCAGATAAGCTTATTTAAACGTCTTCTTGTAGGTGGCTGGGAAAAGTTCTCTTCTTAGAAGAGACAAAAACAAACACCCAGTATGTTCCCAAAGTGAATAGAGATAGGAGGTTTAATAGTATTTATAGTAAAACAAAAAAATATGATTAATCTATTTCCTATTGATATCTTGTTGATTTAAATTATTGATTGGCTTTATATTATTACCTGTAACACACAGAGTACATCTGGTAATGAATTTTGTTTAGGGTCAACAGGTCCGATTAAAACAAAAATATGATGAGCTGGAGCATCAGATAATAACTGTAGATCATTAGGTGTATTCTGTCAACAAAACAATTATAGTGTCTAAATACATCTTACATGCAAATCTAATTCAAATTGACTTTTTTAAACTAGAATCAACTTGTGAGTAGATTATCTGTATATACAGAATAGTGTTAAATATAATCATGATCTTTTACTGTATTAGATGTTATTATCAGTATGGAAAATGTTAAAGTTTCTGATTGTGATTCCTTCATCACAATATTCAAAATATTCCACAACACAAATATGTTAATACCAAATTTATTTGACCAGATATCTGATTTCTTTTCTCGATATTTGAAAATCCAAAAGAGCTTTCCTAATTATTTCACAAAACCCCCAAAATATTACTTTAGAATATGTTCATAAATAATTTCCCAAATTAAACAATCAAACTTAAGCACAATTTTTTGAACATCCAGACTGGGATCACTTATGTCTTTCATAGTTTAACTGGAGCTTACCTTATAATGTGAAGATACGTATAGAGACATGAGTCGCTGTAAGAAGGATTCAGAAGCTTTATGATAAGCAAAAAGAGTATCTCTATTTACATAATATAGATCACATAATTCTGGTAAAGGACAGCCTGATATAATTCTAGGTACATTTGTAGCATCTAAACATAGTAACTTATATAACCAATCTTCTATAGGATCATTATCAGCATATCTTATAGATTCATTTAATACTACTTCATGTAGTATACGACCTGTAACAAAAACATTTATATACATATACACTTTTACAATATGTAAAACTGATTTTACATATCAAAATTCAGTTAATATACAGAAAATAGAGATGAACAGAAGAAATATTGACAGGTTGGCAGGCAAAGAGACATGCCCACAGTAGATAATCATCAACTTATATTTTTTTAATAACTTGAGCATTTACAAGACACTTATAAGTTATCAAGGGATACATCCTATGATTAATTATCAGAAATTATTAAAATCTTATAGACTTCTTCCTAGTGCTATTATAAACACCAGATGATAACATTAGCGGCTAATAACTAAGTGTATTTTTTGGAGCCCAACATTAGCTGTTTTGTGAATCTTTTGAGTAATTGAAGACAATAACAATGGCTACATGGCATTTTTACTATTACAGACCATATTGTCAAATATCAGCGTTGACACAAAATTTAATAAAAGGAATGCTGCAATACCTGAGGTTGATACTCCACTATCGGATTTAGCAGACGTCATGCTGACAGCTTTTTGTACTTCTTTACTATTTCCACCAAACGTGGCTGATTGTTGACGTAACTGTTGAACTAATTTTAATGATAAAGATCTTCCAGTACCTTCATAACTAAAACAAAACTGATATAATTAGTTGCTTGTCTGATCTTTAGAAGTTGCTAAGAAGACTCAATTTGTACATATCACTGATTGTGTATACAGTGCAGGCAATGATCGATGACCTACTTGAAATGTTGTCTCAATCCATTAGTTAACAATCCATTCCAAGTCAATCGAAAATACCACGATTAAATTTGAATGTAAACTGGGGACTGACATCTTGTTTTTGTCATGAGTCATAATATAGCCACTTTTTTTAATAGTGAGTTTTAAGCCATTAATAGATTTTGTCTTAAAAGTTTCCAAGTTGTTTAAAGCAATTCATTTTACCTAGTTTCGAATCGATAATATGTTAGAAGCAAATGCTAGCTTTAGACATGCACGTCCTGTGTATTCAGCATATTTCAAATAAAAGGTGAAGGTCATTTTACCTCTAAACCAATTGTAAGACATTCAAAATTCTCTGTATGTTCTCTGTATGACCTTCGACAAGGTATATAGCAGAGCCCAAGTGAACAGTAATTAAATTATCAAAATACTTAATAATTGCATAAACTAAATTTGATATTTTTCATGTTCATATTGAGATGATATCTGTATTTTCCAGTTCTAAGTGCCATCCCACTGCTATGGGGATCAGCAACTTTATTTTACACCATTCTTAAGCTACAGATTTACAAAATAAATTAAAAATTCTGTAATACAAAATATCATTAATAATGAAATATATACCCATTAACAGTAGAAGACATAAAAACAAGATAAGGTCCTAGAAGATTTTTAACTAGAGGTAATGGTATGGCAGCAGCCTCATCTATACAAACTAACTCGGCTTGTCCTAATCTGTGAGCATCAGACGGATGAATATACTGTAATATACAAATAAATACATATATACAATGTGGCTATTTCCAGAGAATTATCACATGTCAAAATATTATTGTGATTCATTCCAAGAAATCTGTATTATCCAATTTTGAAAACATCAATACCAGTCCACAGTTTTCAGAGAAATATTATGTCTAATTTAAAATGACTAGACCTCTTTGATTTGGGCCAGGAATTAGCCAGAAAGACTTCTACTATATTTTGAAAATTTGTCTTAGTCTTATACAGCTTGTCCCATCAATATCAACCAAATTAAACACTTATTTTGGTCAAAATCAAAAGTAATTCTGGCTGCATTAATTACATGACATCATGGAATGGTCAGTTGCGAATTCAGTATATTTCACACAGAATTCAAAGTGGTCAACAATCAAATTTTGTCACAGCAAGCATAATTGTGAAGTAATCCAACATGGCGAATATATTCCAGGTGTGGTGATTGGTGCAGATAAATTCTGTTTGCACACTTAGTCACTGGATATGTTTGTAAATTTTTTTTAGAATAAAGAGAACTATTTGATCGAATGCCCCCCTTATAATGCATATAAACAATGTGACTTATTCATGTTTATGAAATAAAAGTATGTTTATTTCTCAACTTTCTACAGAAATGAAAATGTACCTGAATTGTTTGTCTATGTTCTCTAAATATATTAACTCTAACAACAGCCTGGTTATAATCAGGATTTGTAGATTGAACTATCTCATAATCCATATGTTCCTGTAATAAAAATATTCATACATTTACAATCAAATAAACAATTTCATATTGCCTAGTCAATGCAGAATCATCATGAAAAGCTATGTTTTTTCTTGTCTTCTTTTTATATTTTGATACCATTTGATTTGATGGTAATGTTCAAATAGTCGTAGGAAACATGATATCTCTTACCTGGTATTCAAGGGCATCAAAACCTTTAAATATAAACTCAAATAATGTCTTCAAATTCTCTGGACTGGGTGCTGTTACAAAAATATTAGAATATCTAAAAATAAAACAAGACACATAAATTGAATGGTGGGGTTGATTTTATTTCATGAACTCCTCAGTTTCACCATGATAATATACCCTCTTTTTAAGAAAACTGAGATGAAAGCAGAAGTTTAGCCAAACAATGTGTGTGTTTTTTTTTTTTAAAACAAATGTATATATTTACATTTAACCGAACAATAGTGACCAATTAATGATAGGTAAAGATAAATATATACCCAAATCCTACAGCTGTTGCAATAGCGATACCTAAAGCCGCTGATTTCCCCCGCCCTCGAGCTGCTGTCATAACAACTGTTGATCGTAAAGTTTTCTCTGATATAGCTTCTACAAACTTTAACACAGCTTTAGCCTGTTATTAATGAAGAAAACAATTGTACTTTAATTAAGCCATTCATAAAATCATTAATTCAACATATAAGTTAACATTACTAAGATCTTATTAAGTTACACTAACTAGTTCTTTGAAGATCAAACCAATATTTCTGGATATGACATTATAAATAAACTTATATATAAATCTGTAGCATTCAAAAAGAAAATTAGTGGAGGCAAGATAGGCTCTGGATCTTTCAAGCTTAGATAAGTCTATCTATCTATCTATATTTTGAGTTTGTTACGATCAATAATTAAGGATATTGGAATATCAAGATCAAATATATATTTGCTATTTAAGGTTAACACTGAAATACTTATTAAGGTAAACATACCTGATCTAAAGTTTTGCAGCAATTAGCTAAAGCACCAACAGGCTGGGTGTCTTGTAGTGATTCCTGTAAGTCTTTTAATTCTTGCTGACTAGGACTTATTGGATCATCCTGTAAAACACAATAAAAACATTAATTTTTGATTAGTTATAGCATAGCATTGCAAGGCATGAAAAATACGCTCACTACGAGCTTTGTGAAGGGAAGCAAGGACATCACAGAACATAAATCAAAGGAGAAATAATTATATCTCAAATATGCTGATCTTCTGATTAACACACTCAAGCAAGATTTCAATACATTCCAATTATCAATCCAGCCTGTGAAAATGTATATGTAACTTAATCAAGTTCTTCTTTATTACCTATTGCCACAAATCCAAACACAAAAGCTTAAAACCTCTCTGATTAGCAGAGAAAACACTCTGAAAAGAGCTGTTGACACCCAACAAAAATTACACACAATGCAGCTAAGTTGTCTAATGAATCTGCATGGGTTAACATATATTATTTGTTTTGTAGGTAATTGCAGCATTTAAAAAAAATGATCAAGCTGTTCAAGTTATTTGAAATCATTGAAACTAATAGGTTTCATCATATAAACGCTGTGGATTAATTTTAAATCAATTGGAAATAAACTTTCACCACTAGAGGGACCACAAGATTTTAAAAAGTGATCAAGGGTAATAACTCCAAAAGTAATTCTAGACTTTTTCATTTCATGAACATAAACACTGTGTGTAAAAGAAAAGATACTTCTAAAGACCAATATAAATTCATAATCTCGAGACAAGATTGTCAAAGTTATCAAAGGCAAAAACTCTGGCAGTAATTATTGAAAATTCAAATTATATAATAGGCCCCAGGAGGGTCAAAATTGGATTGATGTAAAGGCCTATTCAATGAAAATTAATATAAATCATTTTAAATACACACTATGGAATAACTCACACATATGATTTATTTTGAAAATAACAAGCCCACAAATAAAGAAATAGAGTTACCCCCCTTTACAGGAACAATTGGAGTTAGGCCTACCCCCCTCTACAACATAATGAAACTGACGTCTGCTAGCCTGTTTCATTTGCCAGGTCACCTTTGAGAAGAGAAGAGGCTCGTTGTGACAATGCTTAAAGGAAAGAAAATTTTAATGATGGTAAAAGGCTGTGGATCAAGCAAGCAGATAGGCCTACTGAAAGTTATTCGAAGGTTAGTACTCCTTTATTTATCCAAATTCTGAATAGGGCCTACCTGTATTCTATTGAAAAAACAAATCAGCTTGACTTGATTTAATTATACTCAAATATCAAACCCCAATGAAAGTGTGTTTGTATGAAATGGCTTTATTTAATTTCTACCATAAAAATAAACTGATATTGCTGACAAGAATATGTATTGTCTTTAATGTTGGCTTGATACATGAAGGCAATAGAACTAACAAGAGATCGAAGGGGCTAAGGGCCTTAATTTTCCATCAGTTAAGGGTAAGCTTATTTGTACATTGAAAACATTTTGTTCTGTGAAAATAAGAATGTACACAGCATTAACTCTTTTCTCGTGATTAATTAAAGAGACAATTAAACATTTCTTAAAAAAAAAATCAAAAGGCATTGGCCTACCAATGAATATGACCTGAACAAAATTTTGTTGAAATATTTAAATTCAAATGTTTCTTTAAAGATGCATTATGTAAGATTTAGATAATGAAATGGGAAAATGTTGGAAATTTCAGACAAATTACTTCATTCTTAGTAATGGCTATTTATTGAAAAACAGTGTAGTCTAGATTATTGCCATTGCTATATATTGTTGCTATGATAATAAACAAAGTCTTGATTATCCATTTTTTGAATTAATCATTAACTAGTAATTGTGTTTAAATGCATTGAAAATCAAAACCATCCGATGTTTTAGAGAGTTGATTGTGGGCTGCGCATGTGAGTAAATGTCTAATTAATGATTTATACAACATTTGAGGCCAAACAAAATACCTGGGATAGGCAGATTTAGCTCTTACATAATGCATCGTTAAAAGAAACTTTTGCCTTGTTCTCATGGTCAAAGCATCTTCATAAACACAATCCTGGCAATAGGTTCTAAATTTAGTAAAAATCCATCATTCTAAGAGAAGTCAACAGTGTCTAAATATACCAATCCCAACCTTATTGTGGTCAAGAAACTTTATTTTAAGCATCACCCAACCAGCATGCCTACCAAATCTGGTGGAAATCCATTAAGCATTTTAGGATAAGGCAAAAATACCTAATTTGCACAATCAAGGTGCCCCTACCCTACCACTATGGTCGAGCAAATTCATTTGAACAAACCTGAAAAACAGCAAATGCTTTCAGAGAAGAAGTCAAATATGTTTAATATTACCATAGGTCCTCTTAATTTGACCCTTAAAGTAGCCAGTGGTCAAGCAAGCAACTTCATTTGATCAAGTCTAAATAAACACCACCCTGGCAACATACCTACCAAATTTTGTATCATAAAACAAACAATACTACTTGTCAGCTAGAAATGACTATAATCAACAATAATCCAGTCCCTACCAATAAAAAAGCCCATTTCAATGTGGCCATGTAAAAATATAGCATCAATATTAAAGATAAATGAAATACAAAAGTACAAAGACAAATCTAACGGAATTTATGTCAACAACACCTACACCAAAAAGAAAACCCATTTCAACATGACTGTATAAAAGTAGCCTATCAATATTTTAGATAAAGGAAATACAAAAGTACAAAGAAAGATGCTAGCTGTGTGAGCTTCTGCCAAAAATGCATACACCCTGGTGACCCATCACTACTTATAGGGCCTACAGTTACCTTTAACATAATTGACAATTCCATTAACTGATGGGCATATATCTATGCAGCCTCACAAGTCAGAAATGTCAACCCTGAGGCATCAATCAAAACCCTGTGAATTTTTTTTAATGGCATTCTACTAGCAGAACAAATTTGAAAAAAAAAACCCCAAAAACAAAAAAACTCTTACCCAGAAGGACTGGTGTACAGTAAACACCTGCGTATAACACCCATTTTTTTTCCATGGTGCATTTTAATTAGGGGAATATAAATTTGTAACTTTTGCTATTACTTGAATACACAAAAGATTGATGTCCAATTTTGGAATTGCATTTTGCTAAGAGTTTGACATAAGTAAAGCTCATATAATGCTCCAAGCTACGAAATTATGCTAAATATAGTTACCATAATGTATAAAAATATTACTTATGCAGTCATAAATCCAAAATCTAGATCCATGGTGATTAATATCCATTTTGAACATGTGTGAGAAAACTCGATTGTCATTGTTAAAGGGGATTATCGATTGCACATAAAGTTATTATGTTTGAAGACGACTTTTTATTGAGACATTCTAATTACCGTCTTTATAGAACATTTAATATTGTGACAAATTTAACAATAAGCAAATTAACAAGAGACAATGGTATAACAGATTCACAATGTCTTTTATGTGAAACAGTTTCGATTGCTAATATTTGCAATCAACACGCTAGACAATGATTGACAACTTACGCTTTGTCTAGAACATCAAAGAACCGTAAGATTTCCTTTCACATATAGATAGTACTGCGGTCCATTTTAGATGGACTGATAATATATTAGATGGTGATTATTTTTATGTTGAGGTAAAAAATCTGTTTGGGACAATATTCTGTTCTTTGATGCATATAGCCGGAGTGCCTGGAACTGTTCCAATTTGCAGACTAGTAAGATCTATTTGTCAGATATTTCCTTCATTAGTTTGTTTACGAATAAGGCAACGAAATTTATTTTTTGAGTCTTTGATAATTATTAAGGATATTTGTCATCTATTATGTAAGCACTTTCTACATTGCTTTTATGTCGCCTACGGGAAACGATACAATTAATGTTTTATTGTTTGGTAGAGCCTATTAATGACTATGCATGTGTGGTATTGGGGTGTATAGGCCACAAAATGGCCTGGATTGTTTATGACAATCAGAAGAGCTAATTAAAAACAGCCATCTTCCATTTCACTCCATCCCAGAATTCCATCTAGGATCAAAGCCTTTTATTAATCAAGGGAAGTAACTCTATTAACACAAATAACTCAAGAAGGCTTCAGACCACTATTCCTTAATAATATGAATAAGTTGGTTTAGTAAAGGAGTATATGCCATCCCCTCGTCTCAAACAAAAACTCCGGTAAGGAATTAAAATTTAGAAATGAAACGTTAACTTATACCATGAAGCAAAATTATAGCATACACACACTATCATACTTCACTACAAGCAAATAAAATGCTTAAAAACATTAAAGTTGAACATTTAAAATATCAAATTGTCAGTGGAATTTTACATGTTTCTTAAAATTCTTAAATTGTTGAGTACTGCTCAAACCTTTATGCAGAGGTATCTTATAAACAAACATGCGTTAATTATTCCTAAAATTCAAATACAATCTCAAGTATCACAATGAATGTGAATTAGGATTGAAAATACATACATAACAAGGTATACTAACAACAAGAGAATTGTATTAATAACAATTTTGTATAAACATGCAATGAGAACATTATTAAATCACATTTTAATATTTACTCAATTTTCCTGTAATCCTAAGATTATTATTACTAAGTAATTTCTCAGTTATGTCAATTAAATCTGGAGATTGGTCTATATTGACCCATTCACATTCATGAGGTTTATCGTCATTAAAATTTAATAACAATTGTAGATTTCCACACTTAATTCTACCTTTCTTGATATGAAAAACATTATCATTATTATTGACATCAACTAGGTAATTTACTTGTTCTTCCATCTGTGTATGACATAATTTAGATATTGAAGCTAAATTCTTATTTTCATTTAGATAACTCACACATTGAGATATAGTGTAAGGTGTAGTAACTCTATTAAATACAACATTTTCATCAGCAAAGTTTGGCAAAACAAAACCATTTTCATCGGTGTATTGATAAGTCAAATCATTAGCTACATGAACATTACCATTTACAGTTTTACCAAGATGTTTTCGTAATTGATCAATATGAGTTAGACGTTTATTTGGCTCATTAGAACGAACAAAGCATGGTTTAAGTCTATTTAT